GGGAGCGGAGCCGGGGGAGCTGGATGAGGAGCGGGGAACGGGATCAGCGGAAGGAGATCAGAGGAAGGGGGTGGGTGAGGTACGGGGAGTAAGATGATAAGGGAAAGGGAATGAAAGCGATGGGCTTGTTCTTACATGGTTGATTCCGCATTTGGACAGCATTTGACCTCCCCACTCGGGGATCGGATTTTTATAGGGGAGGGAGGGTAAGACTGAATGCCAGCTCAGGTTCAGTAAGGAAAAGTCCAGTGAATTGACGTAAACAAGAACCTTCTCCCCTGGGTGATTGAATTGCGTCCCGAGCGGCGAAATCACCCACAGAACGAACGAGGTAGGAGCCTGGGGATTCGAAGGGATAAGGGGGAGGACGGTTGAGTTGGAGAGAAGGCGGGATAAGATGGCAGATGGGAGGTTGGGACCAGGGGAGAGATAGGGTGGGAGCGAAAGGTAAGGATCGTGATGGTGTGTGTAGAAGAGGTTAGCGTGGAAATAGGCTGCGAACCGTCGATTCCGAGATTATGTGGGAAAGGGGGGGACGGAGAAAGTCAGGGCTGGGAGAGGACTGGTTGGGAACGAGAGGGGATGGGGAGGAAAACGGTTGGGTTGGTTGAGTACGGGTGGGAGCGGTGGAAGTGAGATTGAAAGTCGAGTATGTGATTGAGACCGGGTGGATAATGGATGGGACCGAAGCTTCGCGATCGGAGGGGTGTGGGCGAAAGGGGTCGGTGTGGAGGTAGGTTGCAATCAAGGAAGATGTGGGATAGAGGGAAAGGAGACGGTTGGGTCAGGGGGAAGGTTGGACGGGGTCGAATGGAGGAGATGGGGGAATCGGTTCTTATAACGGGACGCGGGGTAGATGTGAGACTGGGTTGGGGAAGGGAAGGAGTTTGGGGGATGCGAGCGCGATGAAGGGGAGGATGGAATGAATAGGCTGCGCTTCGATGATGTATTAGAGGGACAGATGAAAGGGTCGACTGAAGATGGTTAGACGATGAGGTAGAGTTGAGTACGATCCTACATGAAATAAAGTCGCGATCTTCCGACGACGATCTTGGTTACTCCTCCAAGTGGCGATGAAGACATCGTACCTCTCTCGACAGATTTGTGTCCCCTCCCAAAAGGATCTCAGCGCGCATGCGCCAAGCGCACGCGCGCCGGGAACCCCTATCTAGCTACGGAGGCGCGATGGCGCCCGGTACTACAGACTTCGTGGAGTTCACTGTCCAAGGTGAGGTCCTACGTGCAGCCACTGTGGGCGTAGGTGCGCGAATAACGGCAAGTCAGAAAATAATAAAATTATTACAAAAGATACTCACACACGCTCCTCCCCTTTATGGTAGGAAGGCCCGAATAACGACATTGATTGCTTCCCACGGGAAGGATGTACCATCATTCGCCCCTGCCTAAGTTAGCCTATTTGACGTAGTCTTGGGCTTGTAAGGCCTCTCAGGGTAATGGACTCTGTAATGGGGTATCTGTCTGTTGGACTGTCTGGGCTTTCCTAGTACTGCCTCTCAGCTGTTGGGCTGTCAGATCTGTGTGTATTACTGGTAGAGCTAGGTCTGTCTTCCTCAGTCTCTCTAGCATATGCGCCATCGTCTCTAAAAGGAGCACATCCGATGGCCTTGCCGGGTTGCATCTTCTCAGCACACCTCCGTGTCCCTTGTTGGAAGATTTAAGATAAACCCTAAATCCAAAACCCTTCCTCTGTGTGTCGGACCTCCAGTGTACGAAATTGTACCTTGACCTGTGTTGTTCATTTCCGGCCCCCCTGAGAGAAGGACGTCCCCATGTTTGAGCTCCCTTGATAACCCCTGGTCAAAAATGGTCCTGCTCTCTCCCTTGAATCCTCTCAGTTCGTGATCCCTGGTCCCTTGATGTGTCCCTTTCCTGCTGTTGAGAGCTAGGATACAAGTATGTCCTGTAGGGTTGTCCGATCTGTGTATGAATCCTGGTGGAACTGGGTCTGTTTTCCTCAGTCTCCCAATCGATGTCCTTGCCGGGCTTCGTCTTCTATGCACCCTCTCTGTCCCTTTGAGAGGGCTTAGGAAAAACCCTAAACCCTAAACCCTTCCTCCGTGTGACGGCCCGCCAGTATAAGAAGTTGTGCATTGACCTGCCTTGTTCGTTTCCATCCCCCCTGCAAGAGGGTCGTCTTTGTGCTCCCTTGATAGCCTCTGGTCAATGGTCCTGCACTCTCGCTTGAATCCTCTCAGAACGTGTCCACTGGTCCCTGGAAATGACCTTTTCCTGATGTAAAGGGCTAGGCTACAAGTATGCCCTGAGGAGATGCCTGCTGGCGAAAGCCTCTTTCTGAGACAGAGTTGTGCCACTCCCTCCAACGTATTC